TAGGTTTATATACCTTTTGAATTCTGTTGGGGGTCTTCCTCTTTTCAGCTGACCCTCCACTTTAGCAAGCAAGGTGTCCCTCTCCCAGGACTGGTCCTTCCTGATAACATGTTTAAAGTATGAGAATAAATATACAATGGCTGCAACAATGGACTTGAGAATACTAACAATTGTGAAGGTGGCGACACTTCATTCTACTGTGCACAGGGTCACTGCAGGTCAGAGCCAACTCGGCAGCAACTAACAGTAACATATGTGGACTAGCTCTGAGTGGATCTACAAGAAGAGGCATAAAACCAATAGTTGTCTGTGGATAAGGAGCTGGGGAGGAATTAGAGGACCCTTTTCACTGTATAGGTTTATTTGTTGTTATTATGCATCATAGAGTTGATTCACATAGCGAACCTGTATGAGGTATATATAGGGCATCGAAGGAGCGGCTTGTGGGTTTGAACTGCCAACCTTGTGGTTAGCAGTCCAGTGCTTATCCAATAGCACCACACCAGGACTACGTATAGACTTATATGCCTTTTGAATTCTTTATCATGTATATGGATTTCCTATATTAAGAGAAATTTAATTTAAATGAATCAACATTTTCAATGTGTATAATATTTGCCTAGTTGTATAAAACACAGCACCGGGTGTTTAATGTGATTACAAAATGTGCACATTGTTTTAAAACTACTTGTGAATGCAGCTCTCTGCCCGCTGCGTCAGCTCAGCGGCTGACCCATCCCTGGTATTCCGGAAGGACTGTGCAATGAATGAATCGCTGGAATTCGCAGTCTTCAAAGTTCCTCATACAACTCTAGAGTCTGCACTTGTCTCTAAAAACCGAGCCTGGTGAGGAAGAGTGTTCTGAAGCAGGAAGGTGTCGGATGAGGGTTAAGTTTAATGGTGGTTCATCCCCTGGGTTCTCTGTGCTGTGAATTTCTGTAGGACCTCCACTTTTAGCTATAGCGGTGGCTCTCAACTGGGGGCAATGTTTGGCTCCCAGAAGTCTTAGTCATTGTCTGGAGACACTCTCGGTTGTCACAATGGTGAGGAGATGCCATTAGCAACAGGTGGGTAGAGGCTTAACATCCTACAAAGACATTCCCCAAAAAGAATTGTTGTTGTTAAGTGCCATCAAGTTGGCTCGACATTGTTGTTGTTGTTGTCAGGTGCCATCGAGTCAGAACTGACTCATAACGACCCCATGCACAGCAGAACGAAACAATGTCCGATCCTGGGCCAACCTCACTACCGCTGCCACACTTGACACCATCAGTGATGCCACCTTGCTGATCCATCTCGTTGGGGGTCTTCCTCTTTTTCTCTGACCCTCCATCTTACCCAGCATGACAGCCTTCTCCAGCGACTGTTCTCTCCGGACAATATGTCCAAAGTAGGAGAGACGAAGCTTAGCCTTCCTGGCCTCCAAGGAGCACTGTGGCTGCACTTCTTCCAAAACTGATCTATTGGTTCTTTTGGCAGTCCATGGCACTTTCAGTATTCTCCTCCAACACCACAACTCAAAGGCATCCGACTCATAGGGACCTTGTTTAGAGTTTCCAAGAGCGGCTGGTGGATTTGGACTGCTGACCTTGTGGTTAGTGTAGTTAGCAGTCCCATGCTTATCCTATAATGCCATTGTTGTTGTTGTTAAGTGCCGTCGAGTTGGTTCCGACCCATAGTGACCCTGTACAGGGTTTCCGAGGGTGTAAATCTTTACGGGAGTAGAAAGCCTCATCTTTCTCCCGCGGAGCAGCTGGTAGTTTCGAACCACTGACCTTAAGGTTCACAGCCCTATTCGTAACCACCAGAGCCCATACAAAGAATTATTCAGCCCAAATTGTCCATAATGCCATGGTTAAGACGCCCTGAGGTGAAGCAATGAGTGAACGCCACTGTGGTTCTCTCTGATAAGCCCTATTCAGCAGACCTGGAACTTCTGTGTGTATGTGTCTCCTCAGAAACCTACGATCGGCCAGGCAGCCTTCCTGAGCTGCCTCATTTATTTATTCTCTGGGGCATCAAGCTTATTTTCATCTCATTACTGAGGGTCCCAACCAGTTCCACTCGGCTTCCTGCCACAGTCTCTTTGAGAAGGTGAGAGCCGCTCAGAGATTTGAGGAACCATCTATCAGGGAAATCCTGCAGATGCTGGTGAAGAGTCCAGCTGTCCCTGAAGCCAGGAGTTCATCCGGAAGAGTGCTAGATCACGGGGCAGGCTCTTGAGAGAGAGAAGGAGAAGGGCAACATGTGTGTTTCTCAGGCAGGAATCTGGGAAAGGATGGGATGGTGCGGCGAGGAAGAAGCTAGCCTGACAGTGAAGACAGCCCAGCATCAGGCATCAAGGGGCCTATCCTCCAGGCTGACTCAGGGCAGCTGGGGCGGCTCGAGGAGTCTCCCGCTTCGCTTTGGGGTGTTAGAGGAGGAGACATGGGGGGCTCTGGCTGCCTCCAGGATCTCCAGACCCAGCGGGGGCCTCCTTTATATTGGAGATAACTGGGAATGTGATGGAGTCCCACATGTTTAATTTGCTCAGCTGATAACCAAAAGGTTGGAAGTTCTCGACCATGCAAAGGTATCTTGAAAGAAAGCCTGGTGAAAACCCTCCTGAGTGTGGGTCTACTCTGACACATGGAGTCGTCAGTGTGTTGCTGTTAGGTCCCAGCCAGTTGGTTCAAACTCACAGCAACCGTATGTCCAATAGAAGGAAACACTGCCCAGTCCTCCTGTGTTTGGGCCCATTGGTGCAGCCTTGTTAATCCTTCTTGTTGGGGATCTTCTGCCATAAGTCAGAATCAGTTTGACAACAACTAGTTTTATTCAGGGAGTCCAGGTGTGGCACTGTAGGATATGCACTGGACTACTAACTGCTAAGGAGCTCTGGTAGCGTAGTGGTTACGAATCGGGCTGTGAGCCGCAAGGTCAGCAGTTCGAAACTACCAGTGGTTCCGCAGGAGAAAGATGAGGCGATCTGCTCCTGTAAAGATTTACAGCCTTGGAAACCCTGTACAGGGTCGCTATGAGTCGGAACCGACTCCACGGCACTTAACAACAACAACAACAACTAACTGCTAGGTTGGTGGCAGTTCAAACCCATCACCTGCTCCTTGGAAGCCCTATACAAGATTGGCATGAAGCTGAATGATTTTTCAGATGGAAACAGAACTCTATAAATGGCCAGCACCTATACAAACTTCCATTAGCATTTAAATCCAGGCTTAATAGCCTGGTCAATGTGTGGGTATGGACAGGCGATGTCAGTAGACAGCACCTGGAAGGGAAGACGGCCTTGAGAGACACAGCTGTACTTCCTGAGGTCACTCAGGCACACGGGAAGTGGTGAGATTCAGCCTCAGATCCAGTGTTCTCTCACGGCGGACTGGAAATTTGAGGTGGCATAGAAATGACTGTGGGTTATGGTGGCGCCCACTGTAAAGACTAAGAAGGAAGCTAGAATCAAGGGGTCTTCAAGACAGGGCACTCTAATCCAGATTGTTATGGTTCATGCCATTGAGTGGCATCTGATTGGTGAGAACTTTATGCATAACAGAACAAAATGTTGCCCGGCCTCCATCAGCCTATCCAGGTGTCATATGCTCAAGTCCAGTGTTGCAGTTAATGTGCCAACATGTCACCAAGAGTCGCCAAGTCCTCCTGGACCCTCTGCTTCACCAAGCAAGATTTCCTCTGTCAGTGGACCCCTCCAGAGAATGGGACCACAGCAAGCAAGTTGGACAACATTCTCTAGTGACCCATCACGTTTTCAGGGGCTAATTTTCATGGTGGGTTGAATATACTTAGGAGCCTTGGTGGTATAGTAGGGTATGAGCTGGGCTGCTAGCCACAAGGTCAGCCATTCATATCTACTCCACAGGAGAAAGATGAGGCTTTCTGCTCCCATAAACTTTTATAGCCTTGGAAACCCTATACAGGTTCACTATGAGTCGGAACCAACCACACCACCATTGAATATACCAGAGATTTCCAGATGAACAAACAAATCTGTCTTGGAAGAAGTATAACCAGAATGTTCCTTACAAGCCAGGACGACGAGACTTGGTCTTGTGTATTTTGGACATGCCATCAGAATGGCCTAGTCCCTGAAGAAGGACAGTAAGTTTGGTAAAGTAGAGAGTCAGAGAAAAAGAGGAAGACCCCCCAACGAGATGGACTGGCACAGTGGCTACAAAAATGGGCTCAAGCATAGCAATGATTGTAAGGAGGACGCAGGACCAGGCAGGGTTTTGTACTGTTGGACCTGGGGTCACTGTGAGTTGGAATTGACTCAGCGGCACCTGACAACAGCAACACTAATTTTTGGCAGTAGATCACCAGACCTTTCTTCCTAGTCTGCCGTAGTCTGGAAGTTCTGCTGAAATGTGTCTGCCACACGTGACCCTGCTGGTATGTGAAATACCGGTGGGGTAGCTTCCAATGTCACAGCAGCACACAAATCACCACCATATGACAAACTGACAAGTTGTACAATAAACTGTTGTCAGACATGAGCTACAAGACAACGATTAGTGTCTGACATCATTCATACACTGGACATGGACAGAGTGGTCTCCTTTGTGCCAGTCAGTGAGACAAACAGGCATTAGTTTCTGCCTCTTAGGGCAGCCTCTTTTGGAAGGGCTAGCGCGAGAGTAAATGTGAGCACAGATGTGGACAACAGGTGGCCAGGGGCGCTTGTGACTGCAGCAGGCCTGGCTGGACAGAGCGGCCCCCTTCCCTGCCAGGCAGGCTGCTCTCAACCAGGGCCAGAGACTCACACAAGTCTGGGCTTTCTCAAACCACGTGGCTCATGACTCAGAATTCTCTTTTCTTTGTGGTTTTTGCAAATGGATTTTGTGGCGATTTTTTCTTCAGGCGTGTTGTCAAGTGCTGAGGTGGGGAAAGGAAAGAGCCCATTAATGTCCGCATGTGTCACTGCAGACGCCGAAGTGCTGGAAGGGAGGAGAGAACTATACTTCATTAAATCAGCAAAAACCAGAGTTTACCTGGGTCTCCAAAATGCTGTCATCAGCTTCCTGGGGCCTCTCCTCAGCTTTTTGGGGACGGACCTTATTTTGTTGGATAAATTCTTCCAACCTTAAAACCTAAGCAAAAAAAAAGAAATGTTAGGCAAGGAGAAGTCTTAGCTCATGATGTACTCATTAACTTCAGGATTAAATTGAATTCTGATCAGTCAGTTCTGGGGAGCACGTACCACTAGACAAATTCCAAAGATGTTTCTAGAAATGCCAGTTCTAATTGGCTGGTTGCTTAGTCTTTCCAAAAAAGATGAGCCCAACAGATTTATAGAGCCCCTAAGTTGCGCACTACATGCTCAACCACTAGCGGAAAGACTGTCAGTTCAAACCCACTCAAAGGCACCTCGGAAGATACACTGGCAATCTGCTTCCAAAGGGCACAGCCTTGAAAAGCCCACGGAACAGTTCTACTCTGCACACATGGGGGCGCCTTGAGTCAGGATGGACTTCAACAGCAATTAACAACAGCAACACATTTACAGTGGTGCTGCAGAATAATGCGCTGGACCGCAGGGTGGGTTTCAACTACCAGGTCAGCGGTTCAAACCCACCAGGCTCTCCTTGGAAACCCTAGACGTGGTCGCTGTGAGTCAGAACTCACTTGAAGACACTTAACAGCAACATATTTTACAAAATCAGTTACATACTAACAAAGGGGGCTTCCAAAAGTTTGTACAAGAATGGAATTAAAAGGGAATCGAATTCTCCCACTTTGGAAATTTTCGGAAACCCCTTCATCTCGTCCCTAGTTAATCTTTCCAGTTGCTGTTGTCCATTTGATCATATATTTTGTTGTTAAGTGCCGTTGAGTTGGTTCCAACCCATAGCAATCCTGAACAGGGTTTCCAAGGCTGTAAATCTTTACGGGAGCAGAAAGCCTCATCTTTCCCCCACCGAGCAGCTGGTAGTTTTGAACTGCTGACCTTGCAGTTAGCAGCCCGATTCGTAACCACTACACTACCAGAGCTCCTTATAGGCAGTTCTTAAAGAGCACAAGGCTCAAGGCACACATCCTTTACTAGTTAAGCTAAACTATTGTTCAGTTTTAAGAAGACTCCAGGGGATAGTTTTGGCTAATGGTTTGAAGATGAGGTTAGGGTAATAGTTTCAGCAGTTCATTCAGCCTCCATAGTTCCAGAACATTTAGTTAGGTTGTTGTTAGATGCTGTCGAGTCAGTTCCATCACATAGCAACCCTAGACATGATGGAACAAAACACCGTCTGGCCGTGCGCCGTCCTTACTATCCTTATTACTCGAGCCCATTGCTGCCGCCACTGTGCCATTCCATGTCATTGGGGGGTCTTCCTCTTTTTCACTGACCCTCCACTTTACCAACAAGCATTATCTTCTTCTCCAGGGACTGGGCCCTTCTGATAATATGCCCCAAATCTGAGAGGAAACATCTTGCCATCCTGACTTCTAAGGTGCCTGCTGGTTCTACGTCGTCCAACACAGACTGCTTTGTTCTTTTAGCAGTCCATGGTACTTTTAATATCCTTCTCCAACACCTTAACTCAAATGCATCAATTCTTCTACCATCTTCCTTATTCACTGTCCAGCATGTGTGTTTACTGAAAATACCATGGTTCGGATCAGGTGCACTATAGTCCTCAAACTGGATGTCTAGAGTCCATGAGAATTTAAAATTCTGTTCTACATTTGCCCCTATTTGGTGAGAATTCCTTGATAGAAACTTTGAACACAGTGTTCAGTAGTTGCAGCCAGACACCATCCAGTTGTTTAGTCACATGACCAAGGAGACAATGGTTCACGGAGGCAGTTAGCCACACATCCCATATCCTCCTCCTATCCCTATTCTCTCGTCCTTCTTAGTTTAAAAGTGTCACGAAAACCTGTTCAGCATCATAGCAACTACATAAGCCTCCACTGACAAATGCGCAATGGCCAGACATGAGTGCGTTGGCAGGGAATCGAACTCAGGTCTCCTGCATGATAGGGGAGAATGCTACCACAGAACCACCGCCTCATCATCTTTGTGGAAGCCTCTATAAGTCAGACTTCTCTGTTGGTTTCAACTAAGTCCGTTCCTCAGAGACAACCTTTTGGCAGGACTGAATATCCTAGTCTTTCTTCCCAGGATGCTGCATATCTGGAGGTTAGGACTGTGTCCCGAGGTTTCGGGCCCGCACCATCACTCCCAAGCGCTGCATGAACCCAGGACTTACATCTAGCAGAGAATTTTGTAGCTTCACCTTTAGGGCTGCTTTCTCGTCTTGTAGCTGCTTTATGTCATTTTCTGATTTCTTCTTCACCTCCTCCAATTGTGCCTCTACTTCCTAGATGAAGATGGGAAGAATTAACCACACGAGACAGGAAGACAAGCAGGGAGCCTTATTTACTGACACCCTGCCATATTTCCAAAGGAGTTCAAAGTAGCTTACAAGAGTCATAAATACTGTAAGAACACAGACATGATAAATACATGAAAAGGCAAAAAGAAAGCAAATGCAAAATTCACACCATTAGGCCTGATATGTTGGAGTCCTGGTGTAGCACTATAATCAAAGCACTAGCCTGCAAGGTTGATTTGAGTTGGCGGTTCAAGTCCACCAGCCGCTTTTTGGAAACCTTATAGAGGGTTGCTACGGGTCGGAGCTGACTCAACAGCACTTCACACCAACAAGTCTGATGTGTATTGGGCAAATCTGCTACAAAAGACTTCTTTAAAGTTTTCCATTAGCAAAGGTGTTGCTGGATGATTAAGATGTGCCAAACCCAGCCATGGTGTTTTCAATGGGTTCATATGCACAGGAAAGCTGAAATAAGAAAACGTAAGACTAGACAATTGATGCTTTAAGTTGTGGTGACGACAAAGAATAGTGAATATACCATGGGCAGTCCACAGAATGAACACATCTCTTAGAAGAAGGAATACAACCAGAGAGCTCCTCCAAGACAAGGATGGAGAAAATCCGTTCTGCCCAACTGCATTAAATAAATATTGCACCTATGTTCGCTATAAAGTTGATTTACTCTTCGTTCTCTTCCTAAAACACTCACGTGTGAGTATGGTGTTTGCTTCCCCACCAAACATAAGAAATGAGGCTTTGCATTCCTTCTCAGCAGAAAACTGTCCCTTGTGGTTGGGGGTGAAGATCGTACACACCGTTGAGAATCTTCTGACACTGGTATTGTTGTTGTTAAGTGCCATCGAGTCGGTTCCGACTCATAGCGACCCTGTATAGGATTTCCAAGGAGCGGCTGGTGGGCTTCAACCATGCATGGTAAGAGCAGTAAAATGTTCATCCTATAGCCACACCAGGACTCCAGAACACTGGCATGTTGTGGTTCTTGTTAAGTGCCATCGAGTCAGTTCCGACTCACAGTGACACTGTTTAGGGTTTCCAAGGAGTGGCTGGTGAGTTTGAACCGCCGACCTTGTGGTACAAACCGACCTTACGGTTCAGTGTTTCATCCTACAGCACCACACCAGGACCCTGGCATACCACTGATTAATTCCCGGCATTTATGCCTGAGGAAGCCATGGCTCAGTGGTAGAACTCTTCCTTTGCTGTGGGAGACCCAGGTTTATCCCTAGTCACTGAAGTTCCTGTACAACCCTCACCCATGTGTCCTGTTCAGGTTATTTCTCTCTGTGATGTGGAGTCAGTTCGATTTCCCTAAATCCTGGTGTGGTGCTGCAGGATAAGCACTGACCACAAGGATGGTTTGAATCCCAAGGTCGATGGATCAAACTCACCTGCCACTCCACGGAAACCCTGTATAGTGTCTCTATCTGTCAGAACTGACTCAATGGCATTTAACAACAACTACAACATGGAGTCCTGATGTGTCACTGTAGGATAAGCACTAGACTGCCAATAGCCAGGTCAACAGTTCAAACCCACCAGCTGCTCCTTGGAAACCCTACACAGGGTCACAATGAGTCAGAAATGACTTGATGGCACACAACAACAAAGAGGTCTCAGAGAAGTCCTGGTGTGGCACTGTAGAATAAGCACTGGACTACTAACTGTAAGGTTGGTGGTTCAAACCCACCAAGGTGCTCCTCAGAAACCCTATACAGGGCTGCTAGGAGGTGGAAATCAAACGAGGTATTGCATTAGGAAAATCAGCTGTACAAGATGTCAACTTGAGTACTAAGGTGCGCCTAACCCAAGCCTTGGTATTTTCAGTAACCTCATATGCATGCAAAAGCTGAACAATGAATAAAGAAGATCGTAGAAGAATTGATGCTTTTGAGTTATGGTATTGGAGGAGAATATTGAAAGTGCCATGGGCTGCCAAAAGAACCAACAGATCTGTGTTGGAAGAAGTGCAGCCAGAGTGCTCCTTGGAGGCCAGGATGGCCAGACTTTTTCTTTCAAACTTCAGTCATATTGTCAGGAGGGACCAGTCGCTGGAGAAGGACATCATGTTTGGTAAGGTGGAGCGTCAGAGAAAAAGAGGAAGACCCCCAGCGAGATGGACTGACAGAGTGACGGCATCAATGGGCTCACGCGTGGCAACAGTTTTGAGGCTGGCTCAGGACCAGGCAGTGTTTCATGCTATTGTGCATAGGGTCACTATGAGTCAGTACTGATTTGATGAAACCCAGCAACAACAACTTCATTGACCAGGTTAAGATGACAAGAGGAAACACAGACAGCATACGAAACAGAGGTTAAAGTGATCCCTCTGCAAACCAAAGGTCACCATGGATTGCTGGAAACCACCAAGAGCTAGGAAGAGGAAAGGGAGGATCTTCCCCAGAGAGGGTACAGCCCTGCTGACACCTTGCTTGCAGACTTCCAACCTCCAGAACCTCAAGACAATAAATCTATGTTGCTTTAAGCCATCCAGTGTGTGGTACTTTGTTACCACATCCCTCGGAAACAAAGACAGTTATCCACCAAAGGGAATCTCACCTTCTGCAATTTCTGTCTTTCAGCTTCCACAGATGACTGGACTGATTTGATTTCCACGGTATGCCTCTTCACCATGTCTTCCAGGCGCTTCACGAGCTGGTCTCTGAGACGTTTCTTCTCCTCCTCTGTCTGATGTTTGATTTTACGAAGGTCTTCTTCATATTTATGCTTCGTATACTCTGTCTCGACACCTGCATCTTTCTTGGTCTATAAAAACAGTAAAAAGACCTTGTAAAACTGCTCTTTTGTGAGAAGCAGGGAATCACCAATTCTCTCGTATACAACATTCCCCCTGTTTTTATACTGATTTTTACAGTATGTATCACAAGGTGCAATAAATTTTATAAGGCCATATATTTGATATTTCGTAGAACTAGACTTTATCCACCACAGGAAAAGAGCTTTTGGGGAAGTGTAGCTGTTGCCGAAGAATCAGATATTCCAGCCCATACTACTGTTGTTTCTAAGAATGCTTTATTTGTTTTCACTGGGAAGATTTAATGGTATCCTAAGATAGAGCTCTGGTAGTGTAGTGGTTACGAATTGGGCTGCAAACCTTAAGGTCAGCAGTTCGAAACTAACAGCTGTTCCGTGGGAGAAAGATGAGGCTTTCTGCTCCGGTACAGGTTTACAGCCTCGGAAACCCTGTATAGGGTTGCTATGAGTCACAATCGACTCGACAGCACTTAACAACAACAACAAAAGCTAGGTTCTAGGGTCTTGGGTGGTGGGAATGGTTAACATGCTCAACTGCTAATTGAAAGGTTGGAGGTTCAAGGCCACTCACAGGTGCCTCAGTAAAACTAAAAAACTGGCCATTTAAAACCTGTGGATCACAATTCTGTGCTGACATCATTGGGGTTGCCAGAGTTGAAGTCAACTTGATGGGAACTGGTTTTAAGCAAGTCTCCCAAGAGCTGACAATAAAGAGTTAGGAGTATTCTGCTGCATTCTCGGTCTTCTATTCCAAAGGCAAGAGATGGCAGGCAACTGGCTGGAACTCGCCTCTCATCCACACACCTGTCGAACGATGGGACCTGCGATGTCTAAGTGGATCCATCCTAGTTGGGGATTGGTCTCTACCCTCAAGGCCATTTCAGCAGAGCCTGCTGTGACTTCTCCTCCCCAGGCCTGGGTCTGACGCTACCTGTGTATCTGCGTTTCCTTTTGGGCCTGGACATTCCTTAGGAAAGTTCTGGTCCTCCTGAGGATGAAGACTCTGAGCTTCTAAGTCATTCACTTCTCCCACCACTTCATTTCCAGAAACGAGTTCAGTCTTCATGTCATCTGCAAGTACAAGTGTCAGCATCATTTGAAAGGTTATTGGTCTCTATCACCTCTCGTTCATGGTCACCTCCCTCCATGGCCCCTCCCTCCATCACCCCTGCTCCATGATCCCCTCCTTCCCTCCATCACCCCTGCTTCATGGCCCCTCCCTCCATCACCCCTGCTCCATGATCCCCTCCCTCCAT